TTTATAGAATTCAACATTGAATCTGAATTGATCCAGATCTGTGCTTTTCTTAGATGATAGGTATTTTTTTATTGCTTCAATTGCATTGCCTGTTATTGGGCTATTTAGGGTTTTAAATCTTTTTGTTCATCTTTGGTAATTTGTATATATCTAGGAATCTATCCATTTCTTCTAAAATCTCCACTTTATTGTCATAGAGGTTTGTGAAGTAGTTAATTTTTTTATTCTAGCAATATCTATTGTAATTTACCATTGTTATTTGTAATTCCATTGATTTGAGTCTTTTCTCTCCTTTTTCTTCGTTATGCTAGTCAAGGATTTGCCTATTTTATTTCTTCTTTCCAAGAACCAACTCTGATTTATTTATCCTTTGTTTGGTTTTAATTTCATTGATTTCTGCTCCAATCTTTATAACTTCCTTCCTTTTAAAAAATACTTTATTATTATTATTGTGGTTGTCATTTGTTTGTTTGAGACAGGGTTTCACTAGGTAGTTGAGACTGACCTGGAACTCACTATGTAGCCCAAGCTGGTCTTGTACTCTCAGCGATCCTCCTGCCTCAGTTTCCTGAGTGCTGGGATTACAGGTGTGCACCACCATGCCTGGCTTATAATTTCCTTCTTTATACTAGCATTGGGTTGAACTGTTCTTGTTTCTCTAGAACCTTGAGGTCCCTTTTTAGGTTATTTATTTGGGATTGCTCTGTTTTTGTGATATGGGATTTCACAACTATAAACTTCTATCTAAAGACTGCTTTATTGTGTCCCATAATCTCTGATATTGCGTATTGACATCATCTAGTTCTAGAAACTATTTTATCTTTTCTTTGCTTTCTCCTGTAGCCCATTGTTTAATAGTGTACTGTTTAATTTCAACAAATTTGCATAATTTCGGTGTTATCTTTTGCCATTGATTTCTATTTCATTGTGCTATGATCTGATAATATGCATAGGATGATTTCAATTCTTTCGCATTTATATACGCTTGGTTTATTGATCAGTATATGGCTTCTCTTGGAGAAAGTTCCATGTTATGCTGAGAAGAATGTGTATTCTGTTGATATTGGGTGGAACACTGTAAATATCTACTAAATCTATTTGTTCAAAGGTTTTGTTCAACTCTGATTTTTTTGTGGATTTTTTTATGTAGTTGATCTTTTTATACCAGTGTTCTCTTGAGTTGTGTTGATGTTTATCTTATCTTTTATGTCCAGCAGTACTTGTCTTCTTATGAAGTTGGGTGTCTTGCTCTTTGATACATATGTGTTAATAATTATTTCTCTTCCCATTGGAAGAGAATACCAATCCACAGTGACCTTTTTACTTCAGTCCACTTTGTCTGAATATAGGATAGGGACAATGACTTTTGGGGGAGTTCCTGCTATGTGGGATATTGTTTTCTACTCTTTGATTTTCAGTCTATGGGTTTCTTTTATGTTAAATATGTTTCTTGCATAAATTATATCATTGGAATTTGTTTCTTGACCCATTCTGATAATCTGTGTCTTTTGATTAAGAAATTGAGACCATACATATTGAGTGTTATTACTGAAAAATACTTATTCTTGTTTTTACATTATTTTCTTGTTGCTGATTCCCTATTTTTCCCTTCTGCTTAACTGGTCACACCCTACTTGCTGTATTCATTCTATTAGACCTTTTGTCACTGTTAGCTTCATTGTCTCCTTCTAGGATTTCCTTGAGAATGTTTTGAAGTTCTGGTGTGGTGGTCATGAATTTCTTTAAGTGCTCTTTTTCATTGAAATATATTATTTATTTATTTATTTATTTATTTATTTATTTATTTATTTTTTGGTACCAGGGATCAAACTTGGGACCTTGCACTTGTGAGGCAGGCAAGAGAACCATTGAGCTAAATCTCCAGCCCATTTCTCCATTAATTTTGAAAGGTAGTTTTGCAGGATGTCATCCTGGATTGGATATTGCTTTCTCTTAGGGCTTGAAACTCTTTTCTCCAGGCTCTCCTGACCTTTAAGGTTTCAGTTGAAGTATGCTATAATTCTAATGGTTTTAATCTTTATAAGTGATTTGTTACTTGTCTCTAACCACTTTTAAGTTTCTGTCCTTATATTGGATTTCTGGAATTTTGACTATGATGTGTCTTAGTCTATTTGGTGTTCTGTATGCTTCAATTGTCTGTCTATTAAATTATTTTTCCTTATTTCAAAAGTTTTCTGTTATTATTTTGGTAAAGAGTTTTTTTTTTTTTGCCCCATTTGTGCTGTCTTTAGATTTTTCACTAATTCCAAATAATCTTAGATTAGTCTTTGCATCATCTAGAAGTTGTTGGATCCATTTTTCATGTTTTCTTATTGTCATTAAGGTTTTTTTCATTAACTGCTCACTGATAACAGCCCTGTCTTCTGGTTCTGACCCTCCATCCTCATGTTGGTCATTTCTGCTGTCCATATATTCAATAGAATTTTTAATCTCTTGAATTTCTATTTGAAATCTTTTTATGGATTCTAATTCTTTTTTCATGCTGGTTATTTCTGCCTTTCATCATTTTTCCTAGCTCTACTCACTTTTTTTTTTTGTACCGGGGATTGAACTCCGGTCCTTGCGCTTGCAAGGCAGGCCACCGAACCCCTGAGCTAAATCCCCAGCCCTCTACTCACTTTTTTTTTTTGTACCGGGGATTGAACTCCGGTCCTTGCGCTTGCAAGGCAGGCCACCGAACCCCTGAGCTAAATCCCCAGCCCTCTACTCACTTTTTATTAGTGTCATCTGAAGACTTACTGATCATTTTATTTAGTTGGCCCATTATCTGTTTACTTATATCTTCTGTGAGCTTTCTAAGCACCTTATTGATCTGTTTTGTTATTTTATCTATCTTTTCAAATAATTTGGCTGTGTAGCTTTTGATTCCTCCTCTTCAATGCCTCATGCATCAGGTTTGGGAGAGTTGGAAGTTTTGGAGGTCTTTTGTTGCCTTTTCTTCTCATGTTTGTTTGTTTGTTTGCTTGCTTTTTATGTTGAGGTGTGTGGATTGAATACAGTGACAAGCATTGTTGCTGGTTTGGAGAGCTCTTTAGTTAATCTACTTTTCAGTGGTGGCCTCTGGGCATAGCTAAGTGTTGCCCTTTGCCTCCGTCCCAGTGTCCAACCACCACTGTTTACTGGGAGGAAAATTTGCAGCATATTTGGTCCAGTAACCATTTCTCCAGGTATGAGCTGCAGTATTGTTAATGATTCCAAGATATTGGCATCCCAAGAAAACCAGTTAGTACCTATAGTATTAAAATTAGCAGCAATAATACAGTCAGAGACAATATTCAAACGTAATAGCTTATAACTGACTAGCTATCTAGAGGTTCATAAAATTTGATACTTACACCAGTAGTAAGAGAGAGGGTAGGGAATCAGAGAATGAAGACAGTAAACTTTGAAAAATTAATCACTGGGATATGAGAAGTCATAAAGAAAGGAAGATAGAGGGTCCTATTGGGGAGTAAGAGAAAATAATATTAGAAAACAGTCATAGAAAAGGAAGAACAAGCCAAGAAGAAAGAAGAAAAACAAAGAGAAAAATATAGGAAATGAAAGATAAGACAGAGAAATGCTGGGCACAGTGGGCACATGCCTGTAATCCTAGCACTCCGGGGGCTGAGATGGAAGGATTGTTGTGAGGTCAAGGCCAGTTGGGCTATGTAATGAGTTCCAGGCCAGCCTGAACTACATAGCAAGACCCTGTCTCAAAAAACAAAACAGCAGCAACAACAACACAAAAAAGCAGAGGAAAAAATATTGAAAATGGGAAAGAGAAAAAGAGAAAAGAAACTAAAAAAAAAAGACAAAAAGGAATTTAAAAATCCTTACCCCCCCCCAAAAAAAAACTGGTGAAGGAAAGAGAAAAGTAATTGGATGGAAAAAAATTTTTAAATGGAGTCAAAGAAAAAATTCCTCTGTGTTTTTGAGTAAGTAATTTCATGTCAGTTGGTTATAATGCACCTCTGCTGCCCTGTGCCAAGAGGAACCAAAATGTAGAGCCATTTTGGAGTTGGTAAATCATCACACCATGCAGCAATATGGGTCTGTTTGCTTGGACACTGTACAGGGGGCACTGTATGGGCAGGGTGGTGAGAAGTCCTCTCCTAATCTATTTCTGCTTAAACATTCAGCTTTGTAATTTAGGAAGACCAGAGACTCTTCCTAAGACTCACCTGACACATAAAAATGTTTTCTCTACATCATCTGATGTTTTTATCCATTTCAAATATGTATTTCAAGGTGTCTTGAAAAAGGTCATGATTGCTTATCTTTCAGCTTTTTTGCAAACACAAGTAGTATATTTATGATTTCTCCTATGTTCTATATTAATATATAATTGTTATTTGTCTAATTAACCTCATAAAGAATTCCTATGTAGTTCAGATGCTATCACATCATCAGTTGAACAAAGCTAACAAAAAGTGACAATAACAAAAAGGTTATTGTCTTAAGTGGCTAGCTCAGAGAACCACAAGTTGGCAAAATTCATGGTAATCTTGATGCTCTTCTACCCTGATCAGGATATTTATAGTTCTTGAGTCTTGGGCTCTGCTTTACTAATATAAGAGGGAGCTGAACCAGATCAGTTTCTCAATTACAGGAAGAAAGAATGACATCCAAGTTATTTAAGGAGAATTTCAAGAAATTCCCTGGAAACTGACCTACCCTTTCATCCCCTCTCTCAGGTCCTCTAATATTTACTATCATTCCCCATTTTCCTGAATGAGAACCACTCACTAGAGCATTCCTGAAGATCCTTCCAGATCCAACATTCAATGGGTCATGCACTTCCAGGGCAGAGATGAATGAAATATTAATACTGTACATAAACAGGGAGGCTTGTGTGTCATGTGGCTCAAGTCAGCAATGCTGAGAGGACAATGGCACAAAGCTCTAGGGATGGGAACACATTTTCCTCTGGGCTCTTCTACCTAGAGAAGAACTGAGGAAGCACAGTGTTGTAATCACACTGTTCATTTGTCTTCTAGACATGACTAATCCAAAGGGAGGAGGCTAAAATCCTCTTTTATTAATAATTAGTACAACCTCTTGGTCCCTGAAGACAATGGAAACAGGATAAGCAGGTAAGACAGAAAGAAATGCACAATGGTGACTTGCTCTTCCTTCTTGTAAGGTCTCATGGTCACCACAGGGCTCCTACCACACTCATATTTACCAAACAAATGCATTTGTCATAACCCACCAATAAAAGAATTCCTTCCACCACACTTATACTCGGCCCTAACACACTTGTAAATTAGTGCACACACACATGTCCTCTCACACCTCCCAATATAAATATATAATCTCTCCACATGCAAATAATTTTCAAAAATGTGTCCTATCTGTAAATATATGTCCCAAAGCTGCCTCCTCCCCTTCCTCCCTTCCTTGTTGGCCCCTCTTTCTCATACACACACATCTATAATTTGCTTACTCTGTACACAACTCTAGATACCTCTAGACACCTCTAGACACCTCTAGACATGTTACCTCCAAACTTCACCCTCCCAAATACCCTGTGCCATATAATTACACTTTGTCCCAACCACATTATTCATACCTTACACTTAGTTGCCACCAAGGTTTTATTTCACATATTTTTATGTACAAAAACAAGCATGCTCACACTCTGCACATGCACACATATATTTATCGTCTATTACACAGATTCCCATACCATACCTACCTCTATCATAATAAATGCTCACCGCACACACACACTTAGCCCCATCGTCCTATGCACACCCCACACTTAGCTTCCGCTAACCGTTTTTTTGTTTTTCTTTTGTAAATCTACATATTTTATTTTATAAAAATATAAAACAAATTTCACAACCAAATAAGAGAATAACAATAATTACTACACTGTGTACAGTCATCTTCAAAGTAGTTACTCAGCACAAGCTGTACACCAAAAAGAGTCTTAGAAAAATGAAACCTAACAACACAGACTTTCTTTCCAATAAACGATTGGGATAAATGAAATAAACTTGTATATATATTGAAATATTTTAAAACAACAAAATATGTAACTTGGGGAAGTATATGAACTTCTCCCTACTTCCTATTTCTCTCTTCTGTTTTGCTCTTTATTTCCATACATACATATACTACACCTGTACATATGTTCTTACCCCTGCACAGTCTCATGCATGTGCACACACTGACACACTGCCCCTACTCAGACTTTGCAGCTGACAATATGTCATGCTGAGCCACCACAGGTTCCCCATGCTAGCCCCAAGGATGCCACACCTTTTGCTCCCACCCCCTTATACCTCTACTCCCACCCACTCCCCACCCCACATGCACCTCATGCCACGCTACAATAGGCACAATAACGCCACCACAGATATATTGCCCTCTCCCTCATGCATTGCAGCGTTAAAAGAATTGTAAGCTATATAAAATTCCAGTGTTATGGAAAGGAATGGCCATGTTTACTACACCTGTAATTTTCTTTTATATTGAAAGACTACCTTGGAGGTTCCATTAGTAACTGTGCTTTGCATAACACTTATAACATTTCCCCGATAAGCCCATAGTCAGTTACCACACATGTTCAATTGTTACACCATATTCCTTTTGAAAAAGGCTGAGGAAAGCCTCACTGCATACAAATACATAAATCAAAGATAAACTGAAAAGTTAAGGGCTCTTTGCATTGATGGGATGCACTTTCATGACTTCATACTCTACAAAGTCTGAGACCAAAGGTAGTTGGCGTGTGACAAATATGTTCATGCAATGAATGTTATATAGTCTTGGCCCCAGAAGAGCAGGATTCAGTGACATGTGCAATGTTTAAACTGAAAAAAAAAGTCTGTTTGTGCATGCGTTTGTGCGTGTGTGTGTGTCTGTGTGTGTGTGTGTGCACAGTGTATTGGCTTTCCTGAATTTTAATTTCACTAGACTAACAATTCATTCTCACTGTCTCTAGTCCAAGAATTCAGTCTGTGGCAGCAGCTCCATACCAGGTAGAAATTCATCCTCCTCCTGAATCGCCAGGAACAGGAAGCTCTTGTCTCAGCAGGCAAACAGACAGACTTCTGAGGACTGAAAGCGACTTTCCTAAGTGTTAATGTAATTGGCTCCAGTCCCTTCTTCTGGAATAAAATAGAAATCTCAGCTCCAATGGTCTCAGCAAACAGCCTGTAGGGACTTTATTCTTCAACTTGTCCAATCATTCAATAAATATTCATTAAACTCCATTGGGTGCTATTCACCATAATCTGTACTATGAATATAATGATGAAAAAGTCAGACAGTAGTAGCTGTGTTGTAAAAATGCAGTAACTGTGACTTCTCTACATGTTCTTGGAAGGAAAATTATGAAAGGCCAACTTGAGTAAATGGGAAGAACTGGTAATGTGAATTGGGGAAGGTACATGATTGTTCAATAAACACAGGATCTTAATAAACTCAAAATCTGTTAGTCATTTCTGTTTTCTTGTAAAGGGGACTAGGGAGGAGGCAGAAAGTGCTGAAGCACAGGATTTGACATTAGATAAGGCCAAAAGACTGCTCTAGTCTCCGAGGAAACAGAAGAGGTGCAGGTAGATGCCAAGAAGGCCACATGACAGGGATCTTCTGGATGTGTGGGGTCCAGTGATGCTAGCTTTCCAAGATAAAACTTTAAAATGTTTAATTACATTTGAATTAAAGCTAGATAAACACTTTTGAGTATAAGTATGAGTCATAGAGTACATGGAATATATACTACAAATTTATCTGTTGTTTATTTAAAATGTCTGTGTGTCCCGAGTTTTAATTAGCTAAACGTAACAAACTTACATGGGGCCAATAATAGGTAAGAAAGCTGGCATTCTCCAATTTATGTGACTGCCTTTTCAGTTGCCTAGGAAATAGATATAAATAGTCATACCAAAGAAGCCAGAACCCCCAGAGACCTCCAGTGTGCAAGAAAGAGCTAAAAGGTCAGACAGAAGCAGGAAACTGGCCAGAGGCAATGACCTAGGGCCAATTCCCAGCTTAGAGCCTATGCTATAGATATTAAGGTTTAATTTTAGTGCCATACCGTAACCACCTTAGATCATGTGTGTGTTTCAGTTTAGCATTTCAGTCACCTCAAAAGGAGGTGGAAGGTAGTTCACGCACGATCTCCATTTCTACAAGTTTTCTTTAAATTAGACACGATGGAACGTATATCTGCTTGATATTAAAAAAAATTTTTTTTGGTACCAGGGATTGAACTCTGGATCTTGTATTCCACGACTGAGCTAAATTCCCAGCCCTGCTTGATATAAATTTCATCTTGTTGATTTCATACAACATTCCATCCTATCGAAATCATTTTAAAAATTGATTCTGTCAATTTTTGGTTGGAAATTTGTTAAGACAAATTTTGTTATGTTATCAATACATCTTTGTACCTATTTTCTACTGATAACAAATATTAATTTTTAAGTAAATTTTATCATAACTATACTTAAATAAATGGATAATAAATCATTAATATCATTTAGTATCTGGTACATATTACAAATTCGACAACTGCCCCAAAGATATTTGTTTTTCTCAAATCACACAAATCACAAACATTCCACACATCACTGCACTGTTTTATTATACCAAAGTATATATTGTATTGTAGAAAATATGCATTGTGTAGATGTGTGGGGGGTATGTTTTGCACATATGTGTGCACTATTAAATGAGAAACATGGGCATGAATGTGGCAGGATTTTGCACATTTGGCAAATCGATAGTTTCTCTGCCAACCCTATGATTTCTCTAAATTACATGCTTGATTTAATTCATAGTCATTTGTTTGGGAAGAATATTACATATGTATTGGTGTAAAATTCTATCATTATGCTTATAAAAATATAATAAAAATAAATATGAGATATAATAAAATAGAAACAGAAAAATCTGATCTTAAAAATGTGAACTCTTTTAGTTGCTTGGATTTCATCAACAAGCATATGATATTTATCAAATTAATAAAACCAAGGAGTTTATAAATCATAAAATTTTGAGGACAGTTTCTCAACCATAATATGTAACTTTGTTTTATTTGTAAATACATTATTTCAAAAATATTATACAAAAATAAAATGAGAAAGAACATATAGTGTTTGAAGATCATATCAAACTAATAATGTATTTGGATTATCAGTCTGTGTTGCATAAGTTTTTGTTTATTTCATATCCTTTTTTGCTGTCATGTATAGGTATATTTGAAATTTTTATTTAGTATCTTCATTTCTTGTTGTCATGTATGTTTGCAATCTTTAATAAAAAAACTGATTCTGTCATCTTAGCTATCCTTTCTGGCCTTGAGTAATCTATATATTTGGTAATTCTGCTATCTATGTCTTCATACACTTTCCTGTTAAAAATGCTAAACAGGGCAGAGGCAGGGACAGACTAGATCCTCCACAGGACACTTGCAGCTGAATAACACAGAGACGATAATCGTCTCATGCTTGGCATTTCTCTGCTAATTCTAGGAATATATGAGAAATCATACAAGGGAGTTATAACTTTCCTTTTGAAGTGAACAATCTAGACAACTATTTGAAATTGTTTTTAAGGAATGAATTTGTTAGGAATCTAAGTACTGCCAGTAGAAATTTTTTAATGCCTGAGATACTGGCAGTCATAAAACATAAATTTAGAAGGCAAATATAGGGGTGACAAAAAATGGACAAGAGGAAGGAAGAAGATCAAAAGGAAGGAGAGAGATAGAGATCAAAAGAGATAGATGGAGAGACATTCAGTGACATCAGTTCTAAAAGACATGTGACCTTATTTTAAGATTGATCACTCCCTAACCTTGAATGCAAGATGAAGCTTACAGTAATTCTTTAGAGAGCCTCTCTTGTTAATATAATAACTGGGGTTATGGACCACATCAGATAAAAATTGGAATCCTCTGAAGATGTGGTTTGAGGTTTGGAGCCTATTTCATAGAACTGGTCGTGATCTCTTACTGTCTGAAAAAAGTGGAATTAATTTCCTTTGGATGTGAATGAAATACTGCCAAGAAAATCAGCTGAGAATAATTGAGAAATCATTCCTTTGACTATTCCTATTAATAGCCGTTGCTCTCATAAAATAGCAAGAGTAACTATTACTAGGAAATTTGAGTGGATGAAATTTTTCCTTTGAGTTTTTTCTCTCTGAATTTGATATTAATGCATTTTATTCTTTTTGGCTTTTTAAAGAGTTTATGGCAGAAGGGCACTAGAGGTAAGAGCTAATTCCATTCTACTGAAAGGTCATCATCAGAATAAGTGACCAGAATTCTCCTGTGACTACATTCACACAGTATTCTCCAGCTGTGCCACCCACTTGCAAACTTTCCTGATGCTTTCTGTCTCCTGTGACAGTGATTATGACATCTTCTGTTTGTATACCCATTCCCCCCTGTTCTTGGCTAACAATGAGTTTAAGCACCACCTCCCTAGAAATATCTCCTGATAGCTCAGCTGAGGTAAGGAACATAAATTATCTCAATCCTGCACAAGACAAAGTTAAAGGCAGAAATTAATTCTTATTCATTACTACCTCCTAACAGCACAGGGCCTGGCATGTGCAGGAGGGTGTGTGCTCAGAAAAGGTTTATATAAAGCAAAAGAAGAAGAGAGGAAAGAGGAAGAAGAAAGTGATAGGAACAGATTATAACACAGTATCCTCTTTCAGTTTTATAATTCCAGTCTACCTTTTTATTTATAGATTTTTATCTATCTGAAGTTGTGTCTGACCCATGATTCAAAGAGAAGACAGATCATTGGCAGAACTGCACTGCAGATTCAAGTACACTGAAAAATGTCATCCTGTTACTTCAAGGGAATCTCCAAGTTTTTGATGAATGTTTCAGTGTACCTTGTGATATTGATAGCCCAGGTGTTATAAAAAAGAGTGTGTTGACTATGGTAGTTCAAACAATGTAAGATAACTTCAAAAATATGGAATGCAGCTATTGAGATGAACACAGCACTTATACATCAGAGAAATAAGGTTTGACTTTAGCAGGGGAATTTGGAATATGATAAACTTCTCCAAAGTACTTTCAACCAACAGCCAAGGATGGGCTACCCAAGAATCCATCAGCATTTCTCAGCCTCTTTGTGTCCCTACTATAAATGTAGCATGGACTGTATTAGGAGGTGGCACTCAAATGGGGAGGTTGACACATCTGTAGAAGAAATCACCTTGACTCTAGAGAAACAGTAAAGTCATTCTCTACCAAGAGTTTAGGGAGACTTTCTTTTAATACATATGGCTATGCATGGTCCCTAAGTGTTCTTCAATTATATAAAAATACAGAAATCCCTAAAAAGGACCCAGGTTGACTGTTCTTCCCCCTTAAGTCATAAAACTAGATTTTTCCCCTAGATTCCATATGTGGGGATTGGGATGAAATTCAGAGTTACAACATTTGGTTTTCAACATTGCAAAAAAAAAAAAGATTATAT